GCAAGGATATGTGAAATTGAATGGAAGTGTAAGGTCTACTCATCTCATTTTGGGAAAATTAAACTTTCAGGCTTTCATCACCTCATTCATTTTATATACATGATTTACTGGAAGTCTGAAAGCCCTACTTATAAAATGAAAATTTGAGTAGCATGTTTGTCAACGTTTTACATTTTCAGTGTTTAAATGGCCTCATATCTTAGGTCGAAAAGTCGTTTAAAGGTCTTATTTCTGCTCTGTTCACGAGCTAAGACTCAAAGCTTCTTGTGAGATGCTGAAATATCAGATTTCGTGAGCCCAGTATGACCTTCGAATCGTCTTCTTAATAGCCTAACTTCATTGCCAGTTTATGCTTTAATGTAGTGATTAATGCTTTCTCTCTCTAGCTTTCTAGATAAATATATTAGTCTATAAGTGGGTTGCATTTTATATTCAACTAAACAATGCTACTAAAGTGTTGAAAGTAGTATACACTACTCTGTTAATATACTATTTGCAGTAAAGTTGACTCACAGTTTCCGCTGAGCGGTCCTGATCGAATTGCTCCTTTTCCTTGCCAGTCTGTTCAAGACTGTGCCGAAGGCGACCATGATAAAGGCTCTGGGAACGGTGAAACTGACGAAATGGACTGGGAGATTGTTTCTGAAATGGTTCTTGCAAAAGGTCCTCTTCGCCTGTGGTGCCTATATTTCGGCACTTATGCACGTCCCCCAAGAGGTTCTGAAGAGGAGACTTGACTGGGAGGATGACCTCCTTTTGGTCCACCTTAAGTTTCGTCTCTGTCGGATCGCTAGAATAACTCTCTCCGTCTGCCGGGACCCCTTTCCTCCGTCGCGCCTCCGCTTTCTCCACAGCCTCAGTTAATACCGACGGTCTTCTGCTCGAGCTCAGACGACGGCGCTGGAGCCGTCTCCTCTGCTCACAGACCACCTGTTCCGCTGAAACTTCTGTTGGGCTGTCGTCTGTAGACTCGTCCGGTGGAAGGTCGAGTCGGGCGGATTCCGAACCCGGAGTGGACAACTTTATGGTGGGACTCGACCTAAGGCCGCGACCCGACTCGGTTGAAGAAGTGAAGAGGATGCTTGGCGACGAGCACGTGTCGGAAGCACACGAAGAAAGAAAGGAGGAGTTAAAGGGTACCAGGTCCAAAATGGATTCTGACTCGGCAAATCTTGAGTGGGCCTGGTCGACCCGAGCAACCGCTGTACTCCCTATCAATGCCTCGAGGCTGCAAATATCCGCGGGTTTGGTGGTCGTAGTAACCGTGAGGCTGGTCTCCAGACTGGTTCCTAGATCACTTATTCCCGAGTCTGTGCTCGCCAGTGTCTTCGGCCTGGGCAGATCGAATTCCAGAACATGCTTCCGACGACCACGAAGAGTCTGGACAGGATGGAGGACTATTGAGGCGGAAGTTGTGGACGAGTCCGGCTGAGCCCAAGTGGTAGGAATGAGTGGACAAGATTGGGCTGTTGCCAGATCCGCAAGGCCGGAATCGCAGAGCTGTTTGCATCTGCTGCTTTTCATACTGGCCCCAGTCGTCGTGGCAACACGGCTTCGGGAGGTTTTAGCACTCGCTAGAGGTATTGGCGGCAGACGTCCGGACCGGGCAGATGTGGGAATCGAGCCTGCCATTTCTGTACCAAATGAGTGTTGTGTGGACAGGGGAAAAACGAGTATTGGAAGTGTAAGCTCATGTGATAATGTATGCCAGATTTCTACTGAAATTAGGGAACTTGACAACTTTGGATGCACTCTGGAATGGGTTGTTCACCTGTTTTGAGTCCGGTGCACAGATTCAGTGAGCAACATAATTTCAGGATGCTGAGCTTATTTCAATTTTGAGTGAATGTGTTCGATTCACCGGAATCGAAGGAGATATCCTCAAAAACAGCGTTCCCATTAATGTTCCAGTAAAGCCAAGCAAAATCTGATCAAGATAAATCCTCATTCGTCTTTTGGTGAGAGCGACCTTCGAATCTCTTCACCAACCACTTTCACTCGAAATGGAAGTAAGCCCAACAATTAGGAAACAAGAGATTCCTCGAAACCCAAATTTTCTTCGCATATAATTTCTAGGTCTCGAATGACCTTTGGTCTACATTTATGTACATGCCAACCCGGAGTAGTTCACTTCGCCCTTCGTCAAAGTCGGCTGTTCATGTAAACGAATATCCACTGATGGCCACTTTTATGACCAACTCTTGGGTGGATTCTCGATCGGACAATAAACTTCGCAAGCCAGGCATAAAGGAGTCATCTCGAGATAAAACACTTTCAGAACTGCTCGAGAAACGAATAAGCATGTCAAACTGTAAGTGGTTTGGAGTCTTGAAAAATGAGACTGTGAATTGGAGGACAGGGAAATTGATGCTTCCATGGCAGGGGCTAAAGGTCAACTGCTTGGCGATTCCAGGTAGCAGATCGGAATTAGGGAGCCCTTTGGATTTCTCCCAAAAAACGGGTGCACAGAGAGTTCAGAAGTTGTGAGTTCACTTTCATTTGCCTGTAGTTGGTTGGTAGCAAGTTGTTGGCCTGGTGTGGTGAGGAAAATGGAAAACCTTCTGAAACCTCATCTACTTTTGCGTAAATTTAACTTGTCCCGGGAAAATGGATAAAGAATGGGATAGCATTTGAGCCAGACAGGTTTGGTTTTTATTTTAAATTTCACAAAGTAGCTGATCATCTTATGTGATCCTTAGGGGACTGTGGAAATGGCCTGATATTCGTTGTCGTTAGTAGTATGCGTAGTATGTGTTTAAGAAGTTTCGGCAAGGCCATGCTTACTTTTCTCATGGCCCACAGGAGTTTTAGCCTCAGAAGAAAGCTAAAAAGGAATAGTTTCTGCCTATC